GAATAAATTACAATCCTCAGGTACGGGTAAGCACCTTTGAGCGGCTGTAGCTTATAACAAACATCAACAGCATGAAATCATCAATATACACGACACTAACACCACTACAACAAACAACATATAATCATTATACTCATATAATCATACAGCCACTACACACAAACACACTTAACTCATTATACTACTATAACACTGACCACACTTACACTCAACACTAGTACTTTGTAACTCACTATACACTATCAAACCTACACACAACTAAACATAATACTCATTATATACTTAATTACATCACTACGCACCTACACATTAACACACTTATAACTCAATTTAATCGCTATAACACTAACAGCACTAAACACAAACAACACTTAATCTATCTCACTATAACTCACTATAACACTAACTCACTATAACTCACTACAGCACTAACAGCACACTACAACACTAACACGGCGCCACCTACCGGCCATGCATCAGCTGCTTGAAGGAGTGCGAGGGTTGGTGGGCGGTGATCTCCTCTGTGCCGAGGGACTGTCGCTCCGACGCACGCCGCTGCTCGCTCGACGACAACTTCTTACGCCTGCTCTTCCAGCCGTCGAGATTCTGTGTGGCCGGAGAGAAGATGATATATTATTATATATTAAAGTGATTACGTCACCGTAAATAGTAACAATTAAAAAAACATTTCCATTTTTCCACAAAATACAAGTAATTCTGTTTACTTTTTATGGTTAAATTGCTGCATTGTACTTCCTATTTTACTATATTGTTCGATGTGAACATACACTCGTGACTCATACATAGTCCATAGCAAGCTGAAGCAATTAATGTCATGAACATAATATCAAATCATCCAGGTTTTTATGGATTTTTAACTAGTTGAGAAACAATCTTATCAGGTAAGAATTTGACGATACGTGTAGTCCCGTTAGTTCTTACTTTTAATGTAAAAAAAAATGGCAACAAAAATTTTTTACAAATTTTACCATAGAAAATTCGTGACGTAGTCAATTTAACAATTATACATTATATATTTATGCAATATGATATAATGGCTGAGAATAAGATGACGAGAACGCGTGCATTGATCAGCAACGAACAAGGAACATGGCCGGGAACCGAAGGGGAAAAGGGTAATAGAATGGCGAGGGAAAGGAGTGTAATATAGGAGCATGAATTTAATGGAAGCTGGAGTGTAATAGGAGCATGAATTTAATGGAAGCTGGAGTGTAATAGGAAGTGGTAATGTAATGGGAAGTAGGAATGGAGTGGGAGTAGGAATACGAAGTAAAGCCAATGTCTCGTGAGTGGCTCATATACGCACGAACCCGTCACTAGATGGCAGCACGCGCCAGAGAAGCTTGCATCTGGCAGCCGGGGCCTCGCTGGCATTATTGACATGCATACATGGGAGCAATCACACGATATATATACATATATATATATAATAATATATATATATATCCGAGTTATATTAACTGTTCCGAATCTTAGAACTATTTCTTCCAATCCTACCTGACTCTATATCTTATCAAATCCCCTTCCCCACAAATGCATCTTCACACACACACTCCTCCCCCTCCTCCTCCTCCTCCTCCTCCTCCTGCGCGCATCACGTCAGCTCGTCTGCCAGCTCCTCCTTATCGTTCCTCGATCTTTCCGTTTGCTCTCTTCTTCACGGTGCTCCCCCCTCCCTCTGCTCCACCTCCTCCTCCTCCTCCTGCCGCCCCTCACCCTCCCCCCCCCTCCTCCTCCTCCACCCCGCTCACTCACCGTCTGCCACTCCTCCTCATCGTTCCTGATCTTCTGTTTTTCTTTCTTCACGTGGTCGTACGTCTTGATCTGCTCCCTCGCCTTCCGGTGAAGATCCGACTCCCTTGATCTTCACAAAACTGCATCGCGTTGATCGGCGGACCCCTCCGACAACCTGAGGCTGGACTGCGCGTCATCCGCGTCGAGATCCCCCTGGTGGGCAAACGGAGAAGTTTCGTAAGGAAAACGGATTTGCAAAACGATGACGTTCTAATAGTACAATCGACACTACGATCGAAAATATATAGATATATCGATATGTAACTATCGATATATAACAATATAATCATAATAAGTTATATAATAACGTCGATATTAAAATTGGTCCCTTGATCGCTCTAGTAGGCTTCATTGTTAAATTGCCCGCTTCCCCCTCGACAATGGAGCCAAGCACCCAACCCCAGTTACCCACACCACAATGGATCACACCTGTACACCCACGGACCACGCCTGCATGGTCCACACCCCACCCCACCCTCATGAACAACACCTATTCACCAAACCGGAACCACTGCCCCGCCATGACAACACTTTATTTACCCATCCCCACCCAGCCACATGACCACACCCTTACGCACCACAGACCACACCCCGCATCGACCACACCTGGTAAACGCCCACAGACCACACCCGCCTGGATTCCCAACGGTCCGGCTACAGCCAGCCTGCCATGACCACACCGGTACAGCCCCACCGCATCGGACCAGCACGTACATCGCCACAGACCCACACCCGCATGGACCACACCTGTACACCCACAGACCACACCCGCATGGACCACACCGGTACACCACACCTGCATGGACCACACCGGTACACCCCACCCGCATGGACCACACCGGTACACAGGTAAAGTCCCACAGACCACACCGCATGGACACTGCCCACCACCCAGCACGGACCACACCTGCACACCCAACCTAACCTACACGCACGGCACAGTGCCAACGGCACGCACGCACAGCACCACATGCCAACGTGCACCGCTACGCAGGGGTCGAGCACTGCACGCCACGCACGCACGCGACGGCACGCATCGAGCACGCACGTCACAGGGCACGCACACACGAACATTGACACACCACACACACACAACACACACACGTTACCACGGGCGCCTGTGTGAAATCCCTGTACAGGTCGCGGAGACGTTGGACGTCGTGCCTGAGTGGTTGCCATGGGCACTGTCGGTGCTCACGGGCGAGTGATGCACGCCTCCTCCTCCTCCTCCTCCTCCTCAACTCGCTCCTCCTCCATTCCTCCGGCCACGCTCGCTGCCGGGGGAGGGCAGGCTGCCTCTGCTGCGCACGTCGTCCGTGTGCAACCGAGATACAGACCGTTAGTGGAGAAACACGTCTGTTGGAGGAAAGCAACGAGTTAAGGAGCAGCCGGGAAATTTAGGCGGGTGTTTGTGGCAGGTGTCTAGGTTAGCGGGGGTGTTGGTGTTTGTTAGGCTTCAGTGACTCTTTGTCAGAAGCAAAATTTGTCTTAAAATTCAATTTAGCATTAACGATTTTGCTTTGGTCATTAACAGAAACATTGTAAAGTTACAAGAATGAAAAATTGTAGCCAATTTCTTCGTGCGTATACGAAAGAAAATTCTGCTAACTAGTGGCCAAGTAGTCGAAATACTGTCCAAGAGAAAAAGTTAATGTTACGACAAAAATTTAAGACAAATGTGGCTTTTGAAAATGGGCTCCTAGGTTATGAATAATATCAATAGCTAATAATACCTATAGGTATTATTTATTAGCTCTTGATAATATGAACACCTATGTGAACTCAACCAACATATTGAAACCCCAGGCCAGCAGGTCAACCAGGGCAACTTTTCCTCCCATTATGTCCGCGTAGACTTTCCATCATCACCCGACGTGTGCGGACAACACTGTCCACTTCACTGTTTTCCACTTCTAACATCTACAGCTTACACTAACTTATACCACTCCTATGCCGTCGCGATATGCTCGTATAAACCAATCTAAAATAATTACATCAAGCACGCGCGAACGAGTAATATTAGTTGCACACCCATTTGCTCTTTTTACGGTGACTATTATAAATGACATTGCTGTGAGTAACGTTGGCACCGGTTGTCAGACAGAAACTTGCTCTTAACATTAGTGACTTTTTCTCGTAGACCGGACCTCTATACATTACTCATGAGAAACTTGCAGCTTTACGACGTGTCTGGTGACAGACTATGAGATAAAGTGAATGTTAAAGAGACCGCGTTCAGACTCTACCCCCAGTGAAGTGTATTGTGGATAAATGAGGACATGTTAAGTAAGATGAAGTTAATGTTAAGATTAATTATGTTTCTGACAGTGAGCGTGTGGCTGATATAAATGACATTGCTGCAGTAACGTGGCTGTTAGAGCGGCAATATCCGGCAACCTTCGCGAACACCCGAGTTCTCGTTTTTCAGCGATAATTCCCGGAACTGTGTTTTCTCTACGAATCTTGATTTATTGCTTTGCGTGATGACTTCCATCATCATTACTGCTTCTTATGCCCCACCACAGCCTGCGTGGGTGGGTGGGTGGTTGGTGTGAAGGGGGAGGGGGTTCGGAGGATGTTAACTCGGCGGTTGTCACGACAACGCCACATTTTTTGTTGCCACCAAGAGTTATTTTTGTTTGCGTGTCGTGCAGCAGTGGCGGCTGTTCCGTCAAGCGCTGGTCCTCCCTGACACGTGCTATTAGTATAAATATACATATATATAATATCATATGTATATATTAGTATGCATCCTTGGTAAGCATTACAGACAGCTGATACAGTGTGTTGTACATTTTCCCTGTGCTAGGCATCACTGTGTGTTGCTGATGCAAGAAAATAATGATAACGCCCGACTACATACGCTGGCAGTTACACCACACAATCATCACCCCTGCATCTCACCACGACAGCTTTTCCATCATAGGTGCATCACCCCCACGTCTCCCCACGACGGCTGTCACACCATACGTGCATCACCCCCCTGTCTCCCACACAACGACGGCTGTTCCATCATACGTGTGTCACCCCCACGTCTCCCACACAACGACGGCTGTTCCATCATACGTGCGTCACCCCCACGTCTCGCCCTAACCGCTGTTCCATCATACGTGCGTCGTCCCCGTGTCTCGCCAGGCTGTGGCTGTTCCATCACGCGTACCTCGTCCCCCTGGGTGGCTTCGAGCTCCGCGCTCGGGTGGTGCTTTCCGGGCATCCTGACGGGACTCAGGTCATCCTCCTGCTTGTCCGACGCGGATTCGTACGAGCTGTCGCGCTGAGCAGACGGACTCCTCCCCCTCTTCTCTCCTCCCTTCTTCGTCTCCCTCTCCTGCAGCAGGGGGGAGGGGGAAACAGACATTAGTGAAGCCAGGGGAAGGTCTGGTGTTTCGCCCTCGATCACTTCTATTTATTTAGTTCTATTCATACTAGCTTAACTAATATGTTACCTCAAAAATGTAATTCACAAGAGTAAATAAAGTAAATTGAATTGAATTGAATTGAATTGAATTAAATTGATGTGTTAGCATCCCCGTTCATCTAAACCCGAACCGACTAATATTCTCTTTAGTAATTACATTAAGTAACATTAAGTAACATTAAGTAACATTAAGTAACATTAAGTAACATTAAGTAACATTAAGTAACATTAAGCACATTCACGACAGTATATATAACTATTGATGGTCAGTAATCCTCATGGGCATACATACCGGTAGTATTTCTGTGACAGTGTGTGGCTTGTACTTTAGCAGGTTGACAAATGCACTGACGTCCAACTGAGGTCGATTGAAGGTCTCTGTCTCTCTGGCAACCGTACCCAACCAGTACACGGTCAGAGCAACCTGTAAACACGAGATAGGTGAGATCTCACAGTAAGTACTAGCACTAGACACAGCTAGGGAGGGTTAGACCACGCCATGTACACACGGTGTAGACAACACGAGATAGGTGAGATCTCACAGAGTAAGTACTAGCACTAGACACAGCTAG